GCACCGCCCAGCAGATGGAGCTGGTTGCCAATGTACTAGCCGGCACCGCCCAGCAGATAGAGCTGGTTGCCAATGTACTAGCAGGCACAGCCCATCAGATAGAGCTGGTTGCCAATGAACTAGCCGTCAAGCCCAGCAGATAGAGCTGGTTGCCAATGTACTAGCTGGCACCGCCCAGCAGATAGAGCTGGTTGACACTATACTAGCCGGGGGGGGGGGTATGCTCGAAAAAACCCAGATGTTTTCCTTATTAACATGATTCTTTTTGCAGTTTCCAGTGCAAATATTTATATAATTGTTTAAATGCGTACATCTCACTAACCTCACCCAGCCCCCAACACAACCAACCTTACCATCATCATAAACACCATAATCCCTACCATCACCACCACCCCTTTAAACACTGCTAACATTATCAACCCTTCCAGCCCCACTAACATTACAACCCCACCAACACCATCAACCTCAACAATCAAACCAACCCAGCTATTGGCATGTGAAAGCAAGGACGGCTTTTGAAAGGTTCTATAATGTTTGAAAGGTTCTTTAAGGTTTTAAAGGTTCTATAAGGTTTGAAAGATTCTATAAGGTTAGAAATGTTCTATAAGGTTTGAAAGGTTCTATAAGGTTTAAAATGTTATATAAAGTTTGAAAGGTTCTTTAAGGTTTGAAAGGTTCTATAAGGTTTGAAAGGTTCTATAAGGTTTGAAAGGTTCTTTAAGGTTTAAAAGGTTATATAAAGTTTGAAAGGTTCTATAAGGTTTGAAAGTTTCTATAAGGTTTGAAATGTTCTATAAGGTTTGAAAGGTTCTATAATGTTTGAAAGGTTATATAAAGTTTGAAAGGTTCTATAAGGTTTGAAAGGTTCTATAAGGTTTGAAAGGTTCTATAAGGTTTGAAAGGTTCTATAAGGTTTGAAAGGTTCTATAAGGTTTGAAAGGTTATATAAGGTTTGAAAGGTTCTATAAGGTTTGAAAGGTTCTATAAGGTTTGAAAGGTTATATTAAGTTCGAAAGGTTCTATAAGGTTTGAAAGATTATATAAGGTTTGAAAAGTTCTATAAGTTTTGAAAGGTTCTATAAGGTTTGAAAGGTTATATAAAGTTTGAAAGGTTCTTTAAGGTTTGGAAGGTTCTATAAGGTTTGAAAGGTTCTATAAGGTTTGAAAGGTTCTATAAGGTTTAAAAGGTTATATAAAGTTTGAAAGGTTCTATAAGGTTTGAAAAGTTCTATAAGGTTTTAAAGGTTCTATATGGTTTGAAAGGTTCTATAAGGTTTTAAAGGTTCTATATGGTTTGAAAGGTTCTATAAGGTTTGAAAGGTTCTATAAGGTTTTAAAGGTTCTATATGGTTTGAAAGGTTCTATAAGGTTTAAAAGGTTATATAAAGTTTGAAAGGTTCTTTAAGGTTTGGAAGTTTCTATATGGTTTGAAAGGTTCTATAAGATTTGAAAGGTTATACAAGGTTTGAAAGGTTCTATGATAAGTAGGTTTGTGAATTAGTACATCCATTTTAGAATATTCCGTTTGGGGCCGGGGGCCCTAATTTTGTTTATATAAACTAAATGAACTATATAATACAAAGATAATGCTCACATGGACAGCTGTGTGTGGCCTGCTCACATGGACAGCTGTGTGTGGCCTGCTCACATGGACAGCTGTGTGTGGCCTGCTCACATGGACAGCTGTGTGTGGCCTGCTCACATGGACAGCTGTTGCCTGCTCGCATGGCCAGCTCTGTGTGGCCTGCTCACATGGACAGCTGTGTGTGGCCTGCTCACATGGACAGCTGTGTGTGGCCTGCTCACATGGACAGCTGTGTGTGGCCTGCTCACGCTTCCAAAAACCTTCTAATGTCTTCGAGTAAGCAACACCCGACGGTAAAAAGAAGAAAAAAAAAGAATTGTTTATATAAAAAGTACTTTTAAAAAAATTAATTAAAACACAAACATTTTATTCGTTGGAAAAATTGAAATGAAGAAAACGGTCATTTAACATGAAGAGGATGAAGATAACAGTCACATGACATGAAGAGAAGGGAGAAAACAGTCACGTTTCTTTAGTGTTTATTATCTTCATAGTATTCGATTATCAAAATTTGTTTTAGTTGGGTTTTTTTTTCGTTGATGATTTAATATATATGATGATTATTGTTACATTAAATACATTCTCGATATTTACCTATGAAAAAACAAACAAAAAATATTAATAATAAGATACATTCATAGCATACCGAAAAGTGATAACAAAGTTCCCTAATCAACATAGTAGAGAAGAACGTTTGGCTTTCAAGGCATGCCTAGTAGGTCTATATCTTTTGGGCTTGTGGCCGTATATAATGTGCATCATTCCTGAAGGGGGTTAAAGCAAGTGTCAAAGTTTGTGACACGGGGGAAAGAAAGGGAGAAGGGGTGGGGGGGGGGTAAAGATCTTGTTTCACGTCACACATTTGAGAAGGGGTGGGGGGTAAAGATCTTGTTTCACGTCACACATTTGAGAAGGGGGGGGGGGTAAAGATTTTGTTTCACGTCACACATTTGAGAAGGGGGGGGGGGGTAAAGATTTTGTTTCACGTCACACATTTGAGAAGGGGTGGGGGGTAAAGATCTTGTTTCACGTCACACATTTGAGAAGGGGGGGGGGTAAAGATCTTGTTTCACGTCACACATTTTTAGTTTTTGGGGTTTTTTTTGGTCATAAAAAAATATTAAAAATGAAATTGTCAGTGATGTTTAAATTTTGGCTGTGGCCAGAGGCGTAGCGAGGGTGTTTGGCGCCTGGGGACAAGATCGCGCCCGGGGACAAGATCCATTTTAAAGCGCCCCTTTTTCGTTTTTTTCAGCTCTTAAACCCATTATTTTCATCAATAAAATAATATCAAAGCACATTTTGGCGCTTTGAACTAGCTGGCGCCGGGGACATCTGTCCCCCTTGCCCCCCCCCCCTTCGCTACGCTTCTGGCTGTGGCGGACACATCCTGACAGAAGGTGTCACTTTTATCAGCATCGTATTTTAATCGTGAAGTGTGTCTTAGATTATATTTCATTAGTTGCTGTATTTTTTAAACAATTTGTTTTTCAGTTCGAAAGTGTTCAGCATTTGGGGAGGGGGGGGGGGAAGCAGCTTGTGACAGATGGGGGGCGAGTGGGTCAAATTGTCCCAAAAATAGCTCGACCCACTCTTTGCAAGGCCCGTTCCGTATACTTTCTAAATGGGTCTTTGCTGTCCTCCTAGGCATGCCGGGCAGGTCTATAACTCTTGGGTTTCATGTACTGTATCGCCAAGAACATCACCAGAAACATCACGCCCAGGAAGATGCTGGCGATCAGCACGGCGTTGTCCATCATTTCAGACCTTGCCAGTTGGGATCTCATCCGTTCAGCGTTGAACGCTTCTCTGCAGGGCAGGACCTCGAAGACGCTGTCGTCCCTGACCACGCTGTACTCGATTGAATTCCACACGATCCCGACAAAATTGTGGCACCTCCCTTTCCCGGAACGATGCCTCACCGCCAGACACGCATCACCGTGATAGATTCGCTGCGTGATTTTAGTACACCTCACGGCGACATCCTTCTTGCCGAATATGACGGCGCAGTTGTGGACCGGTGAGACCTCGGTGGCTCTACGCATGGTGGTCTGGACTGCCAGGATCCTGTACGTTTTTAAGTCCTCGAGCCGTTCACCGTACAATGTGCAATCTGTCGGGGGCGTGTCGCAGAGGCAGGACAGAAATCTGTGGAGTGGAGTATGCTAGCTTAACGTTCACGGCTGAGCCTGGGGGGGGGGGGGGGGGGGGGGGGGGTTGGAGGCTCGGGGGGTAGGGAGCCCTTGGACATTTCTTGAATGAAAAATAGATCTTAAAATTATGGTGCTCAAATGAGCGTTGCATCGTGCAACTAATCATTCATAGAACAAAGACTGGCGATAATTCAAGCGCAGGTCTGTTCAATATAAATTTAAGTTAAAATAACGAAGTTGTCAAGCTTTCTTGTGTTTCCAACTCAATTGTAAGTCAATCTTGCATGTTGGTCAAACTTACTTGTCAGTCAAACTTACTTGTCGGTCAAACTTACTTGTCAGTCAATCTTGCATGTCGGTCAAACTTACTTGTCAGTCAAACTTACTTGTCAATCAAACTTACTTGTCAGTCAAACTTACTTGTCAGTCAAACTTACTTGTCAGTCAAACTTACTTGTCAGTCAAACTCGCTTGTCGGTCAAACTTACTTGTCAGTCAAACTTACTTGTCAGTCAAACTTACTTGTCAGTCAAACGTACTTGTCAGCCAATCTTGCTTGTCGGTCAAACTTACTTGTCAGTCAAACTTGCTTGTCAGTCAAACTTGCTTGTCAGTCAATCGTGCTTGTTAGTCAATCCTGCTTGTCGGTCAAATCTTGCTTGTCGATCAAACTTGCTAGTCGGTCAAACTTGCTTGTCGGTCAAACTTGCTTGTCATTCCAACTTAATTGTCCTTGAAACTTGTCAATGTCAGTCAAACTTACTGTCAGTCAAACATACTGGTCAGTCGAAACTTACTGTTCAGCGAAATCAGACTCAAAATGAATATCGATGCTTGTTATTTGAAATGTCAGTGCAGGACTGCCACCAAAGCCCAATCTGAGTGTCGCCGACAAACATACCCAAAGCACCGGCACCATGCTGAGAGTGTTACCAGTTACTCTAGTGCCTGAAATGAAAACGTATTATTACGTAAAAAGGTGCATGAATTAAGGAGTAAACAGTTCTAACTAACGCAGGCAAACATAGCCAGTAGTTGAACACTCTCATCAAAGCCAAGCCTTGAAGCGCCAAAAGTTTGGTACTCATAATAATTTTTGCTAAAAATTTTTTTAAAAAAAGGTTAAGGACACTAAGTACAAATGTGGTTGGTGCTGAACATTGATTTTTTTTTTAAAGATTATGCATTTTGCGAAATTACAAATAATGATAAAAATAATTTAAAACATATCTATCTATCTATCTATCTATCTATCTATCTATCTATCTATCTATCTATCTATCTATCTATCTATCTATCTATCTATCTATCTATCTATCTATCTATCTATCTGTCTATCTGTCTATCTGTCTATCTGTCTATCTGTCTATCTGTCTATCTGTCTATCTGTCTATCTGTCTATCTATCTATCTATCTATCTATCTATCTATCTATCTATCTATCTATCTATCTATCTATCTGTCTGATCTGTCCGATCTGTCCGATCTGTCCGATCTGTCCGATCTGTCCGACCTGTCCGGCCTGTCCGGTCTGTCCGGCCTCTCCGGTCTGTCCGGTCTGTCCGGTCTATCTGTCTGTCTGTCTATCTGTCTATCTGTCTATCTATCTGTCTATCTATCTATATATCAATACGTCTTTCTGTCTGTCTGTCTATCTAAAACCCTTATGTTTAATGCAAAACATTTTTAATAGGTAAAACGTTTTGTCCTCTTTTAAATCTACACATGCAACCCTCCAAAACACCACACGGATTGTACTCCACTGATTGTACTCCACTGATTGTACTGCACTGATTGTACTCCACGGATTGTACTCCTCTGATTGGACTCCTCTGATTCTACTCCGCTGATTGTACTCCACTGATTGTACTCATTGATTGTACTCCACTGATGGTACTCCACTGATTGTACTCCACGGATTGTACTCCACGGATTGTACTCCACTGAAGGTACTCCACTGATGGCGCTCCACGACTGTTTCACATCACAGGACAACGCCACTAGTTGCCCCCCCCCACCCCAGGAGCTCTCAAAGTTGGTGCCAGCAAATACTGACGTCAGTGATGGAAGATGTCAGCTTATCGGTTAACTTTTTGACAAGGAACCTATTAAGCTTGAAATCAAAACCTTCTATTTGCACCCGCTTCAAGTTCATCTGGGAACCGCTGTTTAAAATATGGTTTCAATGGGAAATATCGATGAACTAAAATAGATTGAAAATGTGTTAACCCTGGTTTAATTTAGTGTGTTGTCAAACGTTTGGTCAATATGCCCCCAGTTCATTCACCGGTTATGAATTCATCTCTTGATTTCTCCACGCTGTAACGGAAACTGCAAACCAAAGTCAGAATCTTTAACACAAATGTCAAAACAGTTCTAAAAATGGAGCAGAAACCTGGAAAACAACAGCGAGCATTACGAAAAAAGTACATACCTTCACAAATACATGCCTTAGAAATATCCTGAACATTAAATGACCAAATACCATCACCAACAAAGACCTTTATACTAGAAAGGACATACCAGGTGCCCATTGATGAAGATATAAAGAAAAGATGGAGGTGGATAGCGCATACTCCCCGAAAACCCTCAGATAGCATCACCAGACAATGCCTAAAATGGAATCCATAAGGAAAAAGAAAGAGAGGAAGACCTAATAATTTTTTGAGAAGCGAGCTAGAGGCAGACACGCAAAATATGGGATACACCTGGAAGCAATTGGAAAGGAAAGCACAGGACCGTGATGAATGGAAAATTCTTGTTGATGGCCTATGCCCCAGACGGGGTAAAAATCATAAGTAAGCAAGTAAGTAGCAACGTTCTCAATTTCCATATTATAACGTTTTAGGTTTCAGTTTCTTCATCACATCTACCTATGACGATCAGTTTGTTGATTCCCATGATGAGCACTGATACCTTTGATAAGCCGTAAACATGATGGCTACTTTCTGTCCAGCAACAAGCACTCGTCTTTATCCAGTTGGATTTTGCAGGAATTTAAGTCAAAAAATAAAACCTGCCTGTTAAAATCAAATAACAAATCATTAAAATTTAAAAGTTGATGTGTTTATGTTGTTCTTCATTTATGCACCGTTCTGCAGTAGTGCATGTTCATGCAGTTCTGTGGGGTTTTCCGTATTATTTAATATAGAGAACCAATTGAACGATTTGACCAAACTATATATAAATATAAGAATGAGCTAGGCCAGTAGTCGGCAAATCGCGGCTCTTTAGCGACCTGAATGCGACTCGGCCCTTCGGCCACAAATGACTCCGAAAAACATGGTTCTTGGCAGGTTCTTGAAAAGAAATTTGGCTTTCAAAAATAAAAAAAAATAAAAATGTAATCGCCCTGCTGCTGATTTTCGACTCTTTTGACTAAAGAGTTTGCCGACCACTGAGCTAGTCTGACCATGTAACGCTCAAAAAACGAATCGGTTTAAACCTTCAAATTTATTTTAAAAAACAACGATAGGAATTTTGTTATTAGTTTACGGACATTGAATCAATTTAGTTAAAAGAATTAAAATGAAATACATCAGCTCTTATTGAAGTTTATGCTAAAGTATTCTTATTATGACTTTGACAAACGCTTTAAAAAAAACAATTCAAGAGCTATTTTATCCGAATTGAACATAGGAATCACAGGAGTCTCTCCTCAGAGACACAGGCTCACAGAGACAATCTCTTGTCCAATAGGTTCCAGTTCTATTAGTTTAAACCACTCGGCCACCCAGGATTAAGAAAACGAATCGACAAATTCGCAATTTTTTTTTAATTTTTTTTTTTTAATTATTATTTTTAAATTATAATTTTTTTTTTATAAGCGTGTAAGCAACAATAGAAAAAAAATGAAACTTTCAACCAAATGGGACACAGATCACACAGATCACAAAGATCACACAGATCACAAAGATCACACAAATCACAAAGATCACACCGTACACAAGGATCACAAAGAGCACATAGATCCCAAAGGTTACACATATCACAAAGATCACGTCATCACATGGATCACACAGATCACACGGGTTACACAGATCACACAGATCACACGGGTTACACAGATCACACAGATCACACGGGTTACACAGACCACACTGATCACACAGATGAGACGGTTTCAATCAAGCGTTGCAATGTTTCTACTTTATTGTTTCATGCATCAGTTTGTTGTTTTTTTCTAATGTATTGGTCCAGACTACTTTAGACGGTGACAAAAAAAGAATATGATTTTGTTTATGTGTTGATTTGTTTGCTTGTTCCGCAAAGACTTTTACGTTGATTGACGTTTCTGGTCCAAATTTGGGACAGATACCCAATAAACTCCCAATAGGGTCAGGATCATTTTTCTAGATTATTCTAGATGTATTTTTGTTTTTTTTATTTTTATCATTTTTCAATCCTATCGGGGTGAAAACGGGATCCCACCTGGTAACAGTATTGAAACCTAGAATGGGATGTTACTGGGAACGGGGTCCCACCGACAAACCGGGTCCCACGGGGAAATGTATCCAAGGGGTAACGTGATCCCGCCGGAAAATGGGATCCAACCGGTAACAGTACCCCACAGGGAAATGGAATAAAACTGGGAAAGAGTCCCACCGGAAAACAGGATCCCACCGAGAATGGGATTTCATTGGGAAACCGGATGTCATCGGAAATAGGATTCCATCAAGAAACAAAATCCCATCGGGAACGGGATCTTTAGGATAAGGATCCCATCAGGAAACGAGATATAAATTGGGTCGGGATACCACCAATGAATTGGGATCACCTTTGGTAAAGGGATACCATCGGGGAATGGAATGTTGACATAAGTTATTAATAAATGATAATGTTTAACATTAAAAAAAATGAGCAACGTGTTTTTACAAGGCCCTTTAATTTCAAATTTAGCTAAACGGCTGATGAAGGTTGTTTGTTTTGTTTTTTTTCGAATACAATTCCGGGCATCGCCGGGTACTTCTTCTTCTTCTTCTATATCTTAAGGGCCCACGATCAATTTATTGATCATTTTGGCTCCTATGCATGTAGATGGGATTTGCAATGTTTCTGTTCCTGGTGTTGATGAGGAAATTTCACAGATTTCCAGTGCCACTTTGTGAGGGAATCATGCACTGGGGGTTTGAAGGCTTGAGGCAATAGACACAAATGTGTCTAGTGTTGTCGCCTCAACCGTTCCTTTTGAAAGATTGTTCCAGTCCCTGATTGTCTTGGGCAGGAATGAGCAGCTCCTATACTGGCTTCTTGCTGGTATGAGCCTGAATTGCCTGTCATGGCCTCGTCGCTGTCTATGGGGGAGAGGCTAGTATTTTAATAAAGCATCTCCTTTTTTTCCCCACGACTCACCTATTATAATAATAAATGGTAACACTTTTCGTAATGAGAAGTTAATTATTTCCGTTGAGGTTGCACTTCCGCCCAAATAAGCACTGTGACAAAACACGATTCGTCTTTTTACATGTAAATGTCGCTTTCAAGGATGACAAACTCATGTGTTCTTAGGTGTAAGTAAAAAAAAAACAACCTACCATTAAGATTATTTAAACACACACATCTAAAGAGAAAGGTGGGATCAAAAATGTTCCTCTAATAGTCCTCATCGGTTCAATAGAGTAAATGAATTGAAATTGAATGTTACACAAATTATATTAATAAGACACGAACAAATTGTGTCAATAGAACAATATGAGTTAGCTTTAATAATAATTGTACATTATACAGAATTAAACGTTTCGGCACATGCCTTCATCAGTACAAACAAACACAACACATTTAAATAAGTATAAATTAAATTTACATAATGTCAATATATATATCCTACCTAAAACAGAAAAAATATAGGAGAGGGCGCTTAAACCTGACAAAAACAAAGTAAAGAGATGTAGAAAGCAAATTTTAGCCTATATGTTATACTTTGTATTTTATAAATTTAATAATAGGGAAAGATGTTCAGAATTAAAGAAAAAATGGCTGGCACAATTCTTTACAACTTAAGACAACGAAGAAATTAATCAACCCAAACAAAGTTTTTCGTATTAATCCTTTATAATATGTAATATCAATCCATAGAGGTGGGGGGGGGGGCTGAACATTTGACAAAACATGCATAAATTAACACACTTTAAAATAATCCCAATTAGTGCCCCCCCCCCTTTTTTTTTGTCAAGGCTCACAACCGCACATATTGTTGACCACGCTGCACTATCTCCGACTCTAATGACCCACCCAGATTTACACCGCATATTTATTTCACCAAATATTTTAGAAAACCAAAAAAAAAAAAAATATTACTCCGCACCAAACGCACGTTGCCATATTTTTCAAAAAGAATCTCATTTAGCGCAGTTATCCGGGACATTTCAATAGAACCTCATTTAGCGCAGTTATCGGGACATTTCAATAGAACCTCATTTAGCGCAGTTATCGGGACATTTCAAAAGAACCTCATTTAGCGCAGTTATCGGGACATTTCAATAGAACCTCATTTAGCGCAGTTATCGGGACATTTCAAAAGAACCTCATTTAGCGCAGTTATCGGGACATTTCAATAGAACCTCATTTAGCGCAGTTATCGGGACATTTCAAAAGAACCTCATTTAGCGCAGTTATCGGGACATTTCAATAGAACCTCATTTAGCGCAGTTATCGGGACATTTCAAAAGAACCTCATTTAGCGCAGTTATCGGGACATTTCAATAGAACCTCATTTAGCGCAGTTAT